TGAGGTATTTGGAGGTTCATGGGTAGTTGTAAGTAGGGCTATAAATCCCCTAGAAAGGGTTATAGTCATAACTCCCCATGACCCTCCAAATACTGGTCTTTGGTATTCGGGAGTAACCTTGTGGCTACCCTTACACTTCCCTTTCTCATACGCCCCTCTCATGCGCTTGTGTCAAGCCCTAAGCCCTAAACCCCTAAGCCTCAAGCCCTCACAGAACCCTAAACCCTAAACCTAAACCCTGCAGCTGGAAGGTCCACTTCACCGGGCGAGCAGCGGGAAAAGACACCGTGGCTCAGTGCGGTTTCAGGGTGTAGCTGCAAAGCCCTAGACTTTAGGGGTTTAGGGTTTAGGGTTTAGGGGTTTAGGGTTTAGGGTTTAGGGTTTAGGGGTTTAGGGGTTTAGGGTTTAGGGGTTTAGGGCGGCCGGTTTAGGGGTTCAGGGGTTTAGGGGGTCAGGGGTTTAGGGGGTCAGGGTTCGTCCGAAGCCCAGGATCCTAAAGCTTAAACCCTGCCCATGGGCCCCATAGTAGTTCCTTTTTGGGGTTCATATTTAGAATCCTATAAGGTAATCCCAAAAAGGGAACTACTATGGGGCCTATGGCTAGTCCCTGAGCCATAAACCCCAATCCCTAAGCCCTAAACTCGAAACCCTAAACCCTAGTCCCTGAGCCCTGAGCCCCAAACCCGAAACCCGAAACCCTAAACGGGTTTAGGGTTTAGGGTTTAGGGACCTTAACTGTTTAACTGCTAGGTGGAAAAAGGTGCTTTAAAAAAAGACCTAAGTTGAGGTTGCAGGGCTTACCCATAGGCCCCATAGTAGTTCCTTTTGGGGATTACCTTATAGGGTTCTAAATATGAATCCCGGGCTTATGGGTAGCAGAATGAATCAAGGGTTCTGGGTTTTTTAAGTGCGGGGGCTGAGGGCAAGTTCTACCAGGGCCTTTCGGGTTGGGACTTAGGCCTTAGGGTTTAGGGCTTGGGCTTAGGGCTTAGGCTTAGGGCTTGGGGTGTAGGGCTCAGGGCTTAGGGCTTAGGGTTTAGGGCTTAGGGCTTAGGGCTTGGGGCTTAGGGCTTAGGGTTTAGGGCCTGGGGCTTAGGGTTTAGCGCTTAGGGCTTTGGGCTTGGGGTTTAGGGCTTAGGGCCTGGGGTTTAGGGCTTAGGGCTTGGGGTTTATGCAACAGGGTTTAGGGTTGTTTTGAGTGCGCGGGAGGGTTCTGCTTTCTCCCGCTGTCGTCTGTGTCGTGCGTGCTATTGGCCGTTGTTGTGTGTAAGCCCTTAACTCCAAACTTCAAGCCTCACAATGCCTCAAGAATCAAAACCCTAAGCCCTTAAACCTAGACCCCAAGCCCTAAACCCCAAGACCCTAAACCCTTAACCCTGAA